AAGTGGAGGTAGATACAATAAAGATATGAGAGGGATTGAGTGTTTTTTTGTGTTTTCTTTATTTAGAAAGAGAAAGAGGAAGATGACTTTTTATTTTCCCTCTCTTTTTCTTTAAAGAGATAGATCAAAAGAGCGAAAGAGGTAGAGAGAGAAGTGGAAGGGCTTTGTTCTCAATTTGCTTATAGAGGCAAATATGAGGGAGAGATTGGTATTCTTGTAGAGAGAGAATAGGTGGTTTCGTAGAGATGGAGAGAGAGATTGATGGGCTTTTTTGGTATGGTTTTCTCTGTTTAGATAGAAATAAGAGGTAGTGAGAGAAAGGAAGGCGGGTGCGGCTTGCTTATGTGCTAGAGGTTGTGGAGGATTGGATTGTTTTAGGTGAGATTGGTTTGAGAAGCAGGTTTGTGGTATAGGAATAAGGAGAGTTGAGAGGTTGCTGGAGTTTTGGGAGGCAAGGTCAAGCAATGGGAGATGGGGTTGTGGGTGATGCTGGCGAGGGGTTTCAGTACAAGCTTTGTGCAGGAATGGAAGTATTAGGGGTAGGTGGTGCATGATGTCGAGTTATGGAACTTGTATCAAGGTAAAAAGATGAGCTTTGTTCAAATAAAAATAAATTTAGAATTACGGTCTAATATATTGTGTGATAAACAGTGCACCTCAATGTGTGTCTTATCGCTTTTTTGGGTTTTTATTTATGAGGCAAATGTTATTGTCGGGTCTTAAATTTTGGATCCAAAATATGGAGGGTTATATTAGGTAGTTGACAACCAATATAAAATTTTGTTGAAAAACTATGACATAAATCCTTTAAATTATTGTGTCGATGCTAAGGCGCCTCCAAAAAATAATGTGTAGTTTGACCTGAATACAGTGAAAATTGTGTAAGGGTCGTTGTATCGACGTCTGCGTGTAATGCTAAATAAGCAAGTGTTCCCACATTATTGCTGAATGCGTGCAATGAAGATAGTCCATGAAGCATATCAGGATATAAACTTAAAATACAGGTACTCTCGTAGTTAATTTAAGGAAATTAGTAGATATTATGGTTCTTAGAAAGATAAATATGTGATGTATTCAAAAAATTAAATGGTTTCGAGAAATGATTAAGGAGATTGATAACTTAGATTTTAAACTTTAATATTCAGACAAAATTCATTATAGAAATGATTTATGTATAATTATAGATAAGAGTTTGAAAAATAATGTTGTAAAAAATAATATAACTTGAGATAGAATTATAGCTCTAAAGATTATTGTTCATACTAAGATTTTTAATGTAATAAGTGTTTATGCTTTCCAAGTAAGTTTAGATATATGTTTAAAAGAAAAATTTTGGAATGATAGAGAAGAATTAATATAAAAAATTTATATTAAAGAAAAATTTTTTATTGAAGGGATTTAAATGGACATGTTGATAAAGTGGTAGAAGATTTTAGAAGCATTCATGATGATTATGATTTTGGATTGATAATGAAGAAGAGAGAGTCATATTGGATTTTGCTTTTGCTTTTAATTTTATTTATATTATCACTTATAAGAATGAATTTAATAAAACACAAAATGATTTTTTTTAATGAAAAGAATAGGTCGTCAAGGTTGTAAAGATTGTAAGGTCACTCAAAGTGAAAATTTAAGTAGCCAACATCGATTATTTGTTTTAAATTTTAGGATCAAGGGTTGAAAGATGAAAAATATAATAAAATATAGTCATAGAATTAGACGTGGACAAATAAAATTATTATTATTAATAAACTTTAAAATTTTAAGATTTTGGTTGTTCATGTAGAAGCTAATAGTATGCGGGATAATATATTTAGTACTATTAAACAATTTACAAAAGATGTATTTGGAGAATTAAAACGAAAAACTCATATAATTAAAAATAATTAATGATAGTATAATAATGTGCAAAATAAAAAAAAATATAAAAATTGTTATAAAACTGGTTTAAATGTAAGAACTTGAAAAATTAGGAAAAATATAAGATGACTTAGGGAGTCTAAGAGAATAATTTGTGATGCTAATAATTTAATTTTTAATGATCTTTGTAATAAATTAGATAGTAAATAGAGCGAAAGATATATGTATAAACTTGCCAAACAAAGATAAGAAAAATAAATATTTGGCTCAAGTAAAATATAATAAGTATGAAGAATAAAAAATATTTTTCTTGTATGAGAATATTCAACATAGGTGGGTGAGATATTTTGATAAAATTTTTATTAAAAATTGTGAAAATACGATTGACTTTAGTGATTATAATATAGTAAATAAAGGCTTATTGTTGCTGTATTTATGAGGCATATGCCTCATGGAGGGATATGTGAAGCGCGCTGCAAGTTGTGCCTTGCTCAAGTTTGATATGGCATGCTTGATTTAGAGCCGGGGCTTATATTAAAAAAAAAGAAATGAGTAAATTATAATTAATAAAAACTTTTTTACTAACCCAAGTTATTCTTAACAACTCATATACACCTTCGCTCTCATTCTCTCAACACGCTCGGGCGCCTCTCCTTCCACTCATTCCCTTTTCCACTTGTTCTCACACACTGTCGCCATATACTCTTCTTTGACAAGTTTTCTTCCTTCACAAATAATGCATCTCCTCTCACTTCATCATATCTCTTTTGTAATTGAAGTTATAACCGTCAACATTATCATTATATTGAACTTTAATTAATTTTTTTATTAGTTTTTTATTAATTAAGGAGGTGTAAGTGATTGAGGTAAAAAATGAAAAGGTAGTTTGTGAGAATATTGACACAACTAAGGAGAATGTATGATGAAAATTGATTCATTATGACGGTGGTTTTTATGAAGACTCACTAAGTGGTGACGGTGCTTTGGACTTTTAATTTAGAAATTCTAATCTCAGTGGCTTATCATGTTGTTATTTTGATGTAGGAGTGAGAGACATTTATTGGGTTGAACTTATTTTAAAATATTATGCTCTGACTATAATATTTTATCTTACTCCTATATTTATGACTTTTTATTTCATGATTTGATATTATAGTGTTAATATGATACTTCTTATTTCTTAATTTGATGTTAGTATAATAATGCCTTGCGCAATTTCTTGATTCTAAGATTTATATATCAAAACATCTTGAGATTCATACCTAATCTCACGAACAAAAAATGCCTCAAATTAATTTGTACAATTTTAAGCCATGAATAGGACAATAGAGGAAATATTAATAATTAAATATTTTAAGATTAATGGATGAAAACGTAATATATAATATTTAATTTTAATGAATGCTATGTACATAATTATTAACCAATATTAGTAGAAGGTAAATTGATATTTAATGGTGATATATTTAATATCTTTGATGCAATTTATAAATGAAGGCGAGAATATAATTTTTAGAGTTAAGGCTAAGTGGTTAAAATGGAGCGGTATTTTAATAAAGTTCAACAAGTTATGTATTCATATGCTTTAATGGCATTGAATATTGTACTAATTATTGAAAATAAGAATACATCGACCATGTAATTCCTATCATGAGTCTTATTTAGCAATTTCAATATAAAATAGTATATTATTTCTTTTGATAGAATGAAATACCACAAAATTCTCTTTTTCACTTTCTTGATTAGGGTCTTTTACAAGCAAAAATTATTATAAAAGGTATAGGTCTCAAATGAGACGTGGCTTTGGTAGCCATTTTTGAAATTGGATCCTATTATCCTTCATCTAGAGAAAACACACAAAAAATATCAATATTTTTGTCTTTCACATATCATGTCATTCAAGCGATTATACTCCGCATGTGGGATGTTTAACACCGATACATCACCACACGAGTCGATACACGCAACACATATCCATCATTAATATCTAGTAGTACTATGGAATCTACGGTTAGGAAGGAAAATGGATTTGTATTGAGGATACATGGAACTGAATATATCTATAGTTATTGACTTTTTTCACTTTAGTATATATTTGAATAAAATGGTCGCAATAATCGGTTAAATTGAAGTTTTGGTTCAAGTGGGAATATTATCTTATGCCCGATTGTCAGATGTAGGCGAGTTGTAGCATGCAATCTTGATTGAAGTGTTTTTCCCATGTCCTAATCTACCTTATTGGAGGATATTATTATCTCTAAATTTATTTATCACGGTATAAATTTGAAGCTGTTATTATCCGTTTACTCTTATTTTTGTTCGGCTCTATAATTGTTGCCTCCATCACCAATACGGTTGTAGGTCTCTCACTCTGTTATTAGTTGTCGATTTCAACACCGTTTGCACTTGTAGTTTCGATTTCCTTTGCTTTCCCTTTTTTGGCCTCCCTATGGATGATGCTATCCTTCTTTCCTATAGTGAGTTTCATGAAATTTATTCAGTCTTCCGAATCACATAAGAAAAAAAAAATATTGATCTTTAAAAAATATTTTTGACGTCCAAATCATTTTTAGGGATTCTAATCCCTGATCAACTCAACTAGATTTATTCAGAGAGGCCATTTTTCTTCATGCGCGATATTTATTGATAATTATTTTCTTTCCTCCTCTCTGCCCCTTTTTTTCATTTATTTTTAATTTTTTTCGTCTTTATCCCTTATGTTCATGTGTTATTGGTTGAATGAACAATTGATTTTTTTTTATATGCTAGAATATGATTTTTTTTGGATAAATTTCCATAGTTTAAGTTACTTTGATGATTCTTAACTTTATTGTCATTAATTTTAAGTAGAAGGTCAAAATCATTTTCTATGAATTGAATTTTCACATTTTTTTCAGCTTTATTGAAGTAGAAGATAATAGTGTTCAGATTTATAGCTTGTTTTCCCACAAATCTACATAAGCTTGATGTGCATCAGGAGATTTGGCCTCTAAAATGTTGTAACCTTTCACGGTTTTGAAATTTTTTTTCCCTATCAATTCTCTAAACAATGAAGTATTTGGGCCCCTTTTGTTGTATGGTTCGTCATGGCTTCTTTATATATTTACTTCATCTTCTTGTTACGACTAGTGGTAGTTTGGTATGCAGCTAACTATAAAAATTCACTAACTTAAATGGACTGTGCAATGAAACAAGGAGTATGCAAGTTAGTTTCCATGCCAAGCATAAATTATTCTTTGTTTGTGTACAAACTTTAATGGATTGTACAATAAAACAGAAGGTAGGTAGGTTAATTTACTTGCAATTTTTCAGGTACGTAAATTTAGAATTTTATCTATGCTTTTGAATTTTAGAATTTTAAATATGGTTCTAGAATAACAAATTTTAAAAACTCTTTGTTCTTTCAATTATATAATTTCAAACATGCTCATTGCTTATGAATTATGCAATATAACAATTCATTCAATTAATCTTGGTTTAATCAAAACTAAACCTAAAAAAGTGAACCGAACTATTTTTTGGATTGGTTAAGTTGCGCATTTTGTTTGGTCATTTTGGATAAATTTTTAAGGTTAGAAAAACCAATTGGTTTTACAAATTTATAGTCCAAACTATCCAAACAAACCAAATGCATGCCCATAGAATGCATGCCCCTGGGTAGGATAGTTTCAATGGACAATAAATGTTCTTTGTTTGTGTAATTTTGAATAAGATAGTTGATTGCTTAATCGTTAAGGCGGCTGTATTTTAGTGGATATTTTTTCCGCTATTTTCTTCACCTCATTATCAAGTTCATCTTAAACCTAGATGCCATTTTGCTGATGTTACTTTCTAATTACTTTTTCAGTTTCCATATATATATATATTTGTTTAAGTTTGTCAAAGTTTTTTGTCAATTAGGAAGCGCAGAAATGGACATCATTTCTCAACTGCAAGAGCAAGCCAATTCAATTGCCCTTATTGCCATGAATACATTTGGCACACTTCAAAGAGATGCACCCCCAGTCCGGCTTTCCCCAAATTATCCTGAACCGCCTGCTAATCCTACAGAGGAAACCATCAACATTACAGAACAACCAAAGATAATGAGTGCTGCTTTGGTTCAAGCAGCCAAGAAGGTAACAAAAAAGTTAAATGGATCTTTATACATCAAATTATGTTATTTGTTTGCATGTATCCCACATTCTCTCATTCTTAAGTGGGGGTCTCCTTTATTTCTTTTCAAGTACTTCTTCCACTTAACTTTTAAGTTCTTCATGTAGGTTCATTGTTTTGTTCCATTGGGAATCAAAAACATAATCAAGTTGCTGCTTGCTAGCTTTTACTAATGCTGTTTTTGGTAAAAATAGAGCGAATGTATTGTAATTTTCAACATTAATTTGCAGAAGATGGATTAGTAGTTAAGTATAAATAATGTTGCTTATAATAGCTTAGATTGAGAAAATGTTGTGTAGTTCTGATTACAAGCGAACAAGTTGTTCATAAGGCAAAATAAAGAATATACTTCAGGTTGTGTTTGGTCCTTAGAAAATTTAATATTGGTACACACGTTTGTTTATCTTATGTTTAGGCATATATTTGTATTTGTATCCCACAATCAAAATTGTAGAAAATCTGATCATATGATAGTTTAGTTGGTCTCTCTCACTTTATGAGTGGCCACCAATGCAGGACTAGGTATATGGTGTTCTTCATGGGCTCCTTGACTGTCGTGCTGTTTTTTGGTACAGGGAACGATTTTGATGTCTATACACGATCTTTGTTGGAATGTTGGGTAAGAGTACTACTCATCCAAGTGCTTTGTGTACCACTTATACTGTTAGACTTGTCTTTTTTAACATGCTTGGGGATTTAATTCGGCTATGGTGCCTTGTGAACCACTCAATCAAGCCTTTTTTTACATAGTGGGAAGGTTGACACATTTTTTGGTAGTCCTTTGTGTGACATGACGTGAAAATGTTGAAATCTATCCAAAAACTCGTCTGCAAGTTGAGCAAAAAACAAAAAAAGTTAAAGAAAATGGCTTTTGAAAATCATAAAAGGTAGACAATAAATACTTAAAATATTCTACATGTCATATAAAAAGAAACAAAAATTAACAAAAATAGGCTTTTATGAGCTTCAGTGGCTCACCAACGAGCAAGAAAAGGAATCACTATTTTTTTGACACTGAACTCTAGTGGATTATAAACATAATATATAATAATCTTTATTTATGGATGATTCTTACATATTATTTTAAGTACGAGCCTGGTATTATTGTAAGTGCGAGCATTGTATTGTTTTAAGCACAAGCCAAAATTTTAAATCGTGGCACTTTTATAAAAATGTAGTTAGTGAAAAAAATAATTTTGCCAACATGTATTGAAAAGCATGTGCGACTGCTTTAAAAGTGTGAAACCAAAATATAATTATAAGTGTATTATAACTAAGCCATGCATGCATTTTGATGACAAATAAATCACTAGCAAGAGCACATTAAGTCGAGCATGTAAAATAGATGTGCGGTATGCGTATAAATGAGTCGAGTTGGAGCGGCTGAGTGCTTGTTTGTGTTTAGCTCATTCAAGTTTTCTTTTTTGGAATTGGCTCGTGAATAGTATATTTGTGTTTAGATTAACTTAAATATTTTTTATCATTTGTGGCTATTGTTTGGCTTCAATTTAACTCGAAACATTTAAAAATAATAAAATTTAGCTTGTTTTAAATAAAACATAAAAAAATTAATATAAAAATGTTTTAATAAATATTAAATATTTAATTAGTTAGTTAATTTGAGCCAAAGCGAGCCCAACATGATCTAGCAAAGACCCGTTCTAGTTTGACTCATTTATAAGTAGAGTTCAAAATAATTGTTCGTGTTCGACTTTCTTAAAAAACAAATCTAACACTAGGTTATTAGCAAGTCTAACACGAGCTGTTTGTAAACTAGCTTTCTTACAACCATGTGCAGGTACACGTACTCTTGTTTTTTGTTTATATGGAGTTGGTTGGAATTATCTCAGTGGCTATACCTATCCTAATTTCTATTTTGAATATACATTTTTATTTGATATTCAAATTCAAGATTAAAGAAAAAGAAAGGAAAAACATAAACTCTCAAGGCTTTACTATTGATTTTTATGTATGATATACAAATTACGTGTAGATAGAATTTTATTAATTTACATTGTAACAAGCATATGTAAAAATATGGATAATCAAACAACAAATAGAAGCTCCACTCAATATTCAAGCTTTATCTATGAATTCACCAATTGGAGCTATAATTACTTCTAAATTCCTTAAATATCATTAACATATAAAACCTGCTCAAAAAATGATTCTTTTTCTGTGACATATCTTGTCCATCACCTATCATCGTTGATGATAGTTTTTCCTCTCCTATGTCAGTGAAGGGGTATATTGCTCTTTCTAAGAATCTATTTCTACCAAATATTTTATATGTTACCATATTTTTTATTAGTTTGATATCATTCATTATGTAAGTAGAACTCACAATTGCTCTGTAACTTTGTCATTCTTATTTTACTTTTTAGGATCATTGTATAAATTATAGAATTGGCGGACACCTTTGTCTTCTCTTCCTCCATTACTTTGTATTAGTGGCATTTTTGTTTGGTCATCCTCTACCAAAATGACTTGAGATTTTGCTATTATCTCTTCTCCATAGTTATTTAAATGCAACAATTATGATTAAAATCATTCAGTGTTTTTTTATCATGCTCCATGTCAAGTTCTAATAGTGTCCGATTTGATTTGTACATTCTTATTTTAAAGGTCCTATTCTTGTCCTATTTAAGGTCCAAGTCTTGTCCTTATCCTTTTAGGATTAAAGTACTTTATTACTTTTTCCTACAAGCATTCTAAAACTATATGGGTGTATTTATTAAAGTGTGTGTCTAAAGTTCTGATATTCTTTACTTTGGATTATCTTGTTTTTCGTTGCATTTTTCTTCATTTTTAATTCGAAGGACATACCTAGAGGCACTATAGTATTTTGTCTGAAATGGGCCATAGATTGAAAGGACTCTATCTTGCTTAATCGACATAAATAGGATTTGATTACCCGTTTTGGCAGTAAACCATTCCAATATGAATGGGTTGAAATGTAAATATTGTTATCCAAATGTCTTCATTAATAGTGGTTTCCAAAGTTTTATTGAAATTCATGCGATCTGCTGCTCTGACATCTCCCTAATTGCCAACCTCAACTACGCATTTTTTTATTGTTTTTCTTCTATCACATTTATTACTGGAAATGGATATGATGAATGCTTCCTCTATGACAATTTAATTAACTATGTACATGTGTAACCATAGAGATGCATTGTTCATAGGAGATTGCTCAACAAAGCCATTTATGTTGTATAGGAAAGCTCATGAAGTGGTTCAATAAATTTTGTAAAGTTCTTTCTAAGAAGCCTTTGCATCAGTAGATGACTATTTTTTCTGAAACATTTTCTTTAATCTCTGACAGTTTATGTTAATGATATTCTAGTTACATGACATGATAAAAAATGAGCTAATGAAATAAATCTCTATTCACAAAAAGTATTTTTTGATCGGATTTCTGGGTCATCTCAAATATTCTTTGGGAATAAAATTTTTCTGAAGGAGTTTTCTAGAAAATATACCACCGACTTTGAGAAAATTGATCTTTAGATTGCAAGCTTGCTAGCACTCAAAATGATGCTAATAGGGGGAATTTGTAAGATCCTTCTTGTTATCACATGTTATTGGCAAATTGATTTGTCTTACTATCATCAGATCATTTATCTTCTTTATTCTAGGCCTTGTGAGTCAACACGCAAATTCCCAAACTAAAACATCGGAAATTTATTTTGTTGATTTTAAGGTATGCTAAGAAACATTAGGGAAATGATATTTGCATACTAAGGTTTTGTTTTTACTGTAAATAGTTACTTCCCAACTACAGTTATTATGCTTTTCTAGAAGCAGATTTTCAAAGGCAAAGTTTTGAAAAACTATTGAAATTTCTTGTTCGAACGGAGCTTTTTTTATTTCCTGTTTATTCGATTATTAAAATAGTAAAGAAGTTGCCTCGAACAAAGCCTACACGTTGAAAATCAGAATTTCCTTATCATGTAAGTGGGATTATTCACCTTGAATATTTTGGCACATCCGACTGTTTGACAAATTATCTTATATGAAACTAGTTTGAGTGGATTAAAGAGAAGGAAGGTCTACATACATACGACTTAATTGCTATGTATTTACATATCTAACACCTAAACTTTAATTTTTACATATATGCGATGTATTTCTCTTTTTAAAAGTTTAATTATTGTTTCTTTGATGTGATATGAAATATTTCGGTTGTATAAATGCAAAAGCTATTATTTGTTAAATATGTAAATACATAAGAATTGGGTGGTATGTATGTAAATGCTCCTAAAGAGAATGATGCGAACCAGAACAATAAAACATAGAACAAACTACGAATAAATTACAATAGAGAGATGGGACAACTTAAATGAGGGTTGATTTTACTAATTTCAACGAAAACAAATAAAATACAATGTTGATCTACTGTTTGAGAGGTAGATCGTCTTTCTACAAACCCTAGATGCCACTACAAATACCAAGATAAAAGAAATACTGTAGCCAAACAAAACATAAAAACAAATCTTAGACAATTAACACTTATGCATACTTTACAAGATCCTCTTTCAAACTTCCCCTTCAAAAACCCCCTTAATTCCTCTGCTCTCATACCTGATTAGAGGTTCTTTGGACCCCACCCGGGTGCTAAAATTGTGCTCAGCCTCTCCTAGGTATTCCACCCCTTTATGTTGGGCCGACTAGCTCGGCCTGGCGTTGATTGGGTTGACTTAGTATGGCTAGTCCAGACTGGTCCAATTTGAACCGGCTCGCCTCTCTCGCTCCTGTCGGCTCTCGAGTCCCTTTGAATAGACGCAAACGCATCAACACTCCCCTCTGAAAGACGCACCTTATCCTCAAGGTATAGGATGGAAACTGCTTTTGGATACTCTCGTATGGCTCTCATGTTTCTTCATAATATGACAAATCGTTCTACTTAATCAGTACCTCTTTTTCTCACGCCACTCGGTGCGAAATGTTTCAGAATCACTTT